CATCAACAAAAAAATAACTAGTTTGAGTCATTTTTCAAACAAAATTCCAAAATCTGATGGCTTCTCACTTTCAAATGTTAATATTTTCTTCTCTTGTTTGTATGTTTATGTCAACAAATTGTGAGAGACAAATGTGACTTCTGTCAAATTTTATGCAGCAAACAATTAATCAAGAAAATAGCAGGTTGATCAATAATGAAAATAGTCATGAGCTGCACTGGCTGATTGAATATCTTTTGGACAGTTGTCTGGGTAAAATAAGCAAGTTGATGGTGTCAGTGTTGGCTGTGTGAGAACTTGTAGGCTAAGCAGAGAAATAATGGACAAGTCAGACAATAATAAAAATAATTGTTAGCTGCAGTCCTTTTTGTGATTATCCTCTCCTTGTCATTGTATTGTTGCTCTTTTCCTGAATGATTGCCTGATGGTAAATCAAGTGTCTTCTTGGTTTGTTAAGCAATCTCCGGACCCTCCTCGTCCTCCTCCACTCAGCGTGAACTCAAGCCAAACAGAGAAGCCACCAAACAGATTGAGGAGTGAGGAGAAAATATGTTGGGACATTCAGTGACGCTCTCTCAAACACACCCTCTCATTGACAAGGTCCTGCTCTCCTGCCAGTTGACATCCTCTCTATTAATTTGAGTCGCTGTTCTGCTTTCTCAGTCGACCTCTCCCCCCATCACTACCTCCATAAACCCCTTTCACCTATCTCACATCAGTACATAAAGGAATTGAACCCGACTCCCCACCCCCAAACTCTCCACACACCACTCTCAAACTTGGTCCCGGAACCCCCCCCCCCCTCCCCTTGGTCATTCAGCAGGGCCCATCAGCTCTTCCCCGGGCCCTTCAGAGTAGCATCTCTCCTTTCTCCAGGGGTCCACAGGGTCTTTGTCCGTGCACCGGCTCACTGCTTTACAATGACTCTCCACTCTATTAAGGTGCGTTCTGCCTGTTAGCGTCGCCAGGGGCAACCGGCCTCCCGCATGGCAACTATGCAGCATGGCATTGTGGGGCGCGGGCCTGAACGGGGGCATTTGAATCCCCACGGGGGTGGGGGAGTGGGGGGGTGTAAAAAAAGATAAAAATGGGGGAGAAAGAAGGGAGGGTAAAAGGGGGAGTTTGGGAGGTGATAAATATTCAACAGCTCAGCTCCTCAGAGGGAGTCGGCACTCTGCTGCCCTCCATCACCTTCTCCCCTCCTGTGTGTCCTCTCCATGCCAGAAAGCAGATGGAATGTGAGAGCTCAGGGAGGAGGCTCCAGGCTGGTTTTATCCAATTAGCAGGGTTGTCAAAATGAATTTATCCACAGAGGCATGGGGACAATTGGACCGGCACTGGCCTGGGAGAACAGGGTCTCCTGGAGTCTTTACTTTGCACGCTCACAATGAATTTTCTGTCAAGTGACTCTCCCACAACGACATATAAGGCATTTGCATACCTACACCCATGATGCATGCCTGCACATCGCTGCCAAAACTCCTTATTTTTTCAGTGGTGTTTACACTACAGATAAGACGCATACTGTAGGTGCACCCACACATACAGGAGCTGTTCACTACACACACGTGTGTATATATATATTATTCCAGGGTTTTACCAAGTCTAAAATGTAAGACTGGCTTTAAGTGAGTTAAGTGGGGCTTTAAGTCCCATTTTAAGGGAGTCGCTTTCTAAACATGTTTTCAGAAATAGTTTAGTTCTCTTGTAATTACACTTCTGCACTGGAACTAGCAGATTTGTAAAATTCACACAGTTCTCTCCCTGCCCTTTCACTGAGGTATGTTTTAGCTGCTCACACAAAGTGTTAGCTGTACAGTGTTGTAACGAAACAGTGGCCGACGTGCACTAACACACACACACATTTTCTCTGTTCTTAATTTAGTGGAGCTGTCTGTGTGTATGCTCTGGTTTTTATCAGTCTCACTGATGCGTAGGAGACTCTTCTCCCTCTCTCTGGGAAGGATGGATGGAAAAAGTTGGACATAGATGTCAGGCCAACTTTTCATCTCATGGCAGGGGGATCCACTAAGCAAACACAGGGCCCAGGTGACTAATGAATCAGGCAGACGGGCTCGGAGGAGTTTCTTGTTGTTTTTTAGAGAACGATGATGTATGAGGGGCCTTCTCAAACTGCTGTTTCAACAAACTCTCTCTCTCTCTGTCTGTCCGTTTATCTCAGGGGGTTTCAGCTAGTTGTGATCCAGGGACCACCATTTTCACTAAGGAGTAACCTAAGGACCACTGTTGCAGGGTGAATAGACCAGATTTGTGCTATTTTCATCCTGAAAGACACCTTGATATTTGTTATTGTTATATATTTGCATTAATCTGGTTATTCACAATCAACAACTAACACATGAAAATGTGTGTAAAAATGAATAAAGAGTCATTTACTACAGTGAAACTACATTATTGAATGGTCAGGGACCCCCTGCTATGCTGTCGCAGACCACTGGGGGCCCCAGATCACTGGTTGAAAACCCCTGTCCTATCTCACCGTCTCTACTTTTATTTTGAAGTGAAAAAGAAACTGGAAAGGTGAGAGGCCTCACTGGTGAGGTAGTGAGTCCTGCTGTGCGTCCAGTTGGCAGACTGGCTGGTGTGGTTTACGGTTAGTGACTCTCACAGTTGGGACAGGCGCTTGATACAGATGTATGCCTTTTTTATGGGCAACTGTCCTGGTTGTGTCTATACAGCATCTGGCCACAGAAGCCACAGCACTTCAGCTTTGCTCGCTCCTGGTCCCACAGCAGCTTGCTGTTTGTTTACTGAGTTAGCCCACCACTGATTGGCCACTCCGAATGGACCAGTGAGTAAATGAAACTGTACATGTATGTAGGGCTGCAACTAAGGATCAGTTTCATCACTGAAGATACTAAAAATGCCTTTCACAATTTCCTTGTCCTCAGTGCGTTCAAATTGCTTGTTTGCAAATGTTTAGCATTTTTGCTTAAAGTGGATATTGTCAGTATTTCCCCATTAACATTATGATGTCCTTGAGTAGGCCCTTAACCCCAGCTGCTCCAGTGGAGCTGCTCAGTGGCCACAGGTCAGTCTGTGGTTGTACTGGGCTGCTTCCATGTATGAATGTGAACAGAGAGTCCCTGCAAAGAAGAGATGGCCTCCCAGTGGACCCACCCTGAATTAATATAGGTAAAAAGAAACGTAGGGATGTAAGTTGACTGGTAATTAGGTTTTTTTTTAGCCCCACTGCTGCAGATGGATTTTTTTTCAGTAAATTTAAAGTATTCATTGCCATTGGGATGAAAAGAAAATTTCAAGAAATGTAACAAAAATGCTTCTGAAATTGGTTGGCAACGCTACCTTTAATGTTTCTGTTCATTCCCTTATTTCTCATCAGCTTTGCTTTCAGTCACATCAAGAAGCTCATTTCAGCTAAAAGGTTATTTAAAAAAAAAACCCCTCTACACTACCTGGCCAAATGACAGGTAGAATTAATTGGCTTGTAGCTGGTGAACACAGTGGTGCATTTAGCAGATAAAAGGTCAAATATCTGTCTGGAGTTGGTGGAGAACAAAACCGAGCAAAAAGGGGATCAACTTAAAAGCTGATTTCAGTTTTATAGCTTATTTCTGCTGCAAACTAGCACCCAAAAAAAATCTGTTAACAGAGGATCAATAAACACATACTTTGGATTACCAAGTAAATAATCAACGGTTATTACAGCTTTTTATTCATTTTGTCCACGTTGGACAGTAATTCTCCATTGCTGGTCAGACAAAATTAATCTAAAAGTACTTGCATGCATTCATAACAGTATTTAAAATGTAGTATGTGTGGCCTAGTTTGGCAGTTTAGGTAACAGCTGTTTTCCATAAGTGTTGCTCTGCTCGTTTTCAGTAAACGCGCCAGGCAGCTAAACATGTTCACTGCTGCCATTAGATGATGAAGGTGCACTGTAAGAGTTTCCATTTTCTTACCATCCTGCTTTGGCCCCTACTGTGCGTGTTGTGCGAGTTATGTGTACGCCTTAGTCTACGAGCTTCATTAATCATCTCTCTTGCCATAATAAGATCAGGATGAATTTGTTTGGGAAATTTGTGTGCTGCTTCCATTTTTACTGTAGTTATTGTAGTAGTACTGTGGTTGTGTGCATGTTAAGCGACATGTACAGTATGTATATGAGAAAGAGGGAGAAAGAAAGACTCAGTTTTGCAGGACCACCCTCCTTATCCTGACGGGAAGTTGTTAGTTTAACCTGACAGGAAAGAATTTGGGCGAGTTGGCAGCAAGTAACAAGGGAGAGAGAAAAGCTCCCATTTCTACTTTAACTGTTAATAGACTGACTATTACCGGTATTTTCTCTACTTTCCTCCCAATACACACTGCACTGGAGTATAAATGAGCCCACCTCTCCTCCGTCTCACACACATGCTGTGATATATATTTCCCCCGTCCCCCTCCCCATCCCATCTCTCATTAGAGGTTCTTTGTCCTGACTCCTGAATGCAGTCTGTTTTTCCCCTTCTTTCCTTTCCAACCCCCTCCACCTACCTTCTTCCTCCACCTGGACCCTCTACCTGTATCAATTACACCTGAGTGGGAAGGTGGAGGAGTTGGGTTGTAGCCCACAGAATGAGGGCGCCTTTTGATGAACGCAGTGTGGATAGGTGTAGGTAAAGGCGTAGAAGATAGGGTCAGCAGTGAGATGGGGGTTGACAGAGAAGAAAGGCTTTATTTCTGTCTGGAGTTTGGCGGCTGAGGGTTCTGTAGAGCTCGCCACCTTGCCTGGGTTGTGTTTCATTAATGGCTGCCTGTTTGTGTGTGATAGAAGGAGAGAGAGCAGTTTACGTAAAAACTGGAGATGACTGCTTAGAGAGATGGTGTATGTTTTCAAGTTGAATTTTAATGGTTTTCATCTTCACTGCTCTTTCTGTGTTTGAATCTTTGCTCCTTGCAGAAGTAAGTGGCTTAAGCTGTTTGTTTTGATTTTACCAACTCTGCAAACCCCTATAACCTTACACTTTGTGTTTCAGGGGTCAGTGTATGGAAGATGTCTATAAAGCAAGACTGGACTCCGTGGATGAAAAAGAGAAGGGCTCCAGTGTTGTGTGCTCTGGGTGCAGTACTGTTGTGTTGCCTGCAGAGTGGCGCCTCCACCTCTGGTAAGTAGACAAAATGAAATTGCTAAAAGATGGATTTCTAAGTAACAATCTACAGGAAAAAAGAAAAGGTTCCCATGTTAATTTTCCTGTGTCATTTCATCACTATTTGACAGCCCCTGGCTCACAGGGAGGGGTGTGTTTTAGGCATCTGGAAACAGCAGTTTGTTTAAAACAAATATGAAGATGTTGGTACTTTGGATGAGCTGTTCTAACCACCATGACTGTACTGACAAAGAAAAGAGGTTTAGTATGGAGAGACTGAATTGAGGGAAACCTATTAGCAACCCTTTTGTAAATATAAAGCAAAAATGCCAAAAATCTCATGGTTTCACATTCTCAAATGCAAGAATCTTAAATTGTGGTAAATTGAATATTTTTAGGTTTTGGATTGTTGGTCAGACTAAACAAGACAATTAAAGATGTCATCTTGTGCTCCAGACCAAAGGATGAGTGATTGATAATGGAAATTATATGTATGCCCAAACAAATTCCAATGGAAACATATCACACTGCTGGCTACATTGGGTGGTATATGTCCTTATTTTCCCGCTTGTATGAAATAAAAGAACTGTCTCAGTTTTATTAACATGCTTCTGATTGCTTTGTGTCATCTTTGTTAAAGATGAGGTTCCAGTGTTCACTGAAGAGCCCATGTCTGTGGTGCAGAAGTTGGGAGGCAGCGTGAACCTCCGCTGCAGCGTCCAACCCGGCTCCGCCAACATCAGCTGGCACCTCAACGGTCGTGAACTGGTGGACGGAGATTTGGGTGTAGTGCTGAGGCCCAGCAGCCTGTTCATTCCCTCGCTCTCCAACGTGACTGTGGGCAGATACCACTGTGTGGCCAGCACCCGCGCTGGAGCCCTGGCTAGTGTGCCTGCTAACGTCACTGCTGCCAGTGAGTAGCTGCCCACGCAAAGCTGCGACAAATAAACACAAACAGGCTCCTTTGGACCCTTGTAGCTTGTCAGGGTATCCACAGAAGGCCTTTGACTTAATTGTCTTCTAGTAGAACAAAACAGTGAAGGGATGTATTTGTTCTCCACCAGTACAACACTGTAAACACTGTAGTTTTCTGCTGCTTGTTGCTAGTTTGAGTCTCATGATTCCAAAGGTCCAGCTTGGTGCTTATGTTCACCAACTCTTACACATAATTGATTTGTGATAATAACTCTGGGTTGTCAGGCAGTATTTATTCTGCATTGTTGGATAATAACAGCTGCTTTTAAGTGTCACATTGAACTAATGGAGTTAAAGTGAGTTATTTTCCATGTTGACGTTTTTAGTGCCTTGCTGGTCTGAGTGTGTGGCGTTATATTTGATATGCATCACGGGACTGAGAGGGGGTCTGTAGCTGTGTAACCTGAGCCACAGGAATGGAGGGTCCCAGGGGCCGTGGCTGGTCAGAGCAGTGAGAGGGGATCTGAACTTAGTCTGGGGCCCCCCGCTTTCATCGGCCCCTCTGCTCCTCACAGCGTCACATTCCTCTCCACAGGGCCCGACAGCAGGGCTTGCCAGAAATTCTGGCACTGTAATTGGGTAGAGGTGTGTGTGTGTGTGTGTGTGTGTGAGGGGGTGGGACAGAGGATGCGGGTGTGTGCCTGACTAAAACACACAATTAGATAAAAAAAAAATGTCTATGTTAGTAGTGATTTGATGAGCCTGCCATAGCTGCAGATACTGGAGGTGTTTTAGGCCAGTTCAGACAGGATTCACACACAAGATGAAACCTGATGTCACATTCTCTGTCTCCTTGAACCATATACACACACATCTCTCTGCCTTTGTACATTTTTCACTCTTCAGCCTTAACTCCCCCCTTCCCTCTATTCATTATTTTTCACTGTCCCTCCTCTTTTATTTTCACCTCATTTTTTTCCTCTCATTTCTGCAGAGTTTGTCAATCTGTGATTAAGAAAGAATGGGTTGCAAAAGTTGATTGTACCAATTAGTCTGTGAGAGATAACATGTGACTCCAGATTGCTTGCCCCGCCTTCCACCAGAACTTAATTAATTTAATAACGGCCCCTCCTTGGCCACCCCCAAACTGCCTAAGGAATCACTCTACGGGGAGTGTGTTTGTGCCTGCCTTTCCATGTGAACCCCTCTTGCGTTGTATGTACATGCTTTTTGTGAACAGGATAGGTTGATTCCACACCCTCCGCGCTATCTGTATCTAAAGAATCTGTGCTTTTTTGGCACTAGTTAAAAATTCCTCACTTGAATTATTATGCAGGCAGTCACCCTCCCATTTCACTGCATAAAACAGAGACATGTATCTGCACAACATGAGCGTACAACACGTTGCACAAACATGTTATACACAGACACACACACAGGTCTCCAGCTGCTACACAAAGATGATGAATGCACTGTCTCTTTAGAAATATTTAAGTCGGCCTTGCCAAGCAGCTCTGGTGCACGAGGTCTGCTTGACTTTATGAATACCATCAATCCTCCATCACTGCAGGATCCTCACACAAACACGCTCACATGCACGCACACACCTGAGAGGCACCCATCGTTCTGTGAAGAATCCAGGGCAGTAGGGTGGGATGGGGGGGTTAAAAGTTGTAACTAGAGGAATTTAGAAAAATCAGGCAGGAGGAGGAAGGTAGGATGGATGAAGTCGGGGACGAGGCGGCGGCGGCGGTGGTGGTGGTGGGCGGCTGTAAAAACAGCACCTGATTGATTTAGCAAATGTAGCGCCACACGGTCTCTCTTTAAGGCTTTTTGTCTCCCAACATACACACAAACCACTTAGCTCGACATGTCCTGGCTGGGTTTCCCATCCTTCAGAATAAGAGCTGGAACAGAGTTGGATATGGAGTTGTTGGTGTGTGTGTGCGTTTGTATGTGTGCTTGGACCCTGATTTCTCCCATAAAGCTCCCCCAGACACAGGCCAAGGGATGGGTCCAGTGTGCATGCTGAATAAATCAGTTGCCCGAGTTTCTTCAGTGCTTTCAGTAAATTACGGTGATGTTCCTATCAGTAGATACCCTGGTCTTAACTAAATGTTGCTTATTGAATTTGAGCTGTATACAGTGTGTTCTCAGCTGACTTGCAGCTTGTTTTTTTTTTTTTCCAGAGAGTGTAGCTAGTCCAAGAAAAACACACCAGTTATAGCACCTCTGGAATAAATGGAGAGAGAGAGAGAGGCCATGTTTGTTAAGAATAAATCAACAAAGGCTGGTAGACATTTAATTATGTTCCTGGAGAAGTTTTATTTATTCTTCATGTCATTGCTTTACTTCTTCTTGACTAATTTCTCCAGTTTTTCCTTTTTCCCCCTCCTGTGCTGCTCCCTGCTCTTTTTATTGCTTCTGTCATTTTAATTTCCTTGTGCTTTAAATGTATGAAATGGCAGCACATCCCCTGCTATGAGCTTTGTGGATTTTTCTTTTCTTTTTTTTTTTTTTGGTATCCTAAAAGCAGAGCTGTGTTGTTTCCTCCCTAAACCCAAACGGGATATCTTTCTCTGAAACTCTATAGGATGGACACCTCTCACCTTTGACCCTTTGACCAGGCCTTGAGGCTGCTCAGGTGGGGGTTTAGGAGGTCAGGGGTTAGATGAGTGTCTGTGCTGTGCAGACTATATGTCTGTGGGACAGCAGCACATGGCCCCAGTAATCCTGCTTCCTCGTTTCCCACAGAATCTTACCGAACTCCAGCCTCCACTCAAATATTATATACACCACTTTTAGGGTTTGGTCTTATTCAGTGACATGAAATGAGTAAAACTGAAAAATTAACTGGAATGCCTTTATAAAAATTCTATGATTATAGTCATCATGTAGAAGAGGTTTTTCTTTCAAAAAGAGAGCACATAAGAGAAAGTGTGGGAATGTGATTCCAGTACAATGGGTACACGCTCATGTGAGAGACACCCAATATGGAAACAGCACAGTTATCATAGAGTTTATTATTGCTCAGAATATTGTGGTTTTCTGCTTCTAAAGCTGAGGACTGACTGTATACATGTGCAGTTAGATGTGATTTACACAGTGTATTAGGCTGGTGAAAGAATGGTGAAGTGTGTTGCAGCGATGTGACAGCACAGATTTTTTTTTTTCCTTTGCCTGTGTCTTTCAGAGCTGCGGGACTTTGAGCCCGATGACCAGCAGGAGATTGAGGTCGATGAAGGCAACACGGCTGTCATTGAATGCCACCTCCCCGAAAGCCAGCCCAAGGCTCAGGTCCGCTATAGCGTCAAACAGGAGTGGCTGGAGTCATCCAAAGGTAACGAGCTGTCTCAGTTCATTAGAATCTTATATGATATTCAGCGTTTCTCTACACTTCCCTCTTGATTCTCAAACTATCTCCATGATTTACTGGAATGGTATAATCCTGTTATCTGACCCAACATAAAACCGGTGATAAGGGCATTATCTCGAGAATGTTGAAACATCGGAATGCACTTGTTTATTTTTGGAACTATTTACATCCAAGTTGTTTGGAAGAGCAGAAACACCCCAGCGGTTTGCAGCTGATATACTGATGATGCCTGTGAGCTGTAGGTAATAATATATGCAGTTTATCAGTGATAAAATGAATACCACATTGATGAGCATCCTCTGCCTGTTCTTTGTCAGACTCGAGGTCGCCACCATGTGGTCTTTACTGACACTCAAGCTTGACAGTTTGACTGCTGTAAAAAAAAACTTTAAAAACTTCTTCTTCACCCAATCAAAAGCAGTAAATGTTCCTACAGTATCTGTGTTTGGTCGTGTGGTTCATTTGACTCACTGAACCCACTCTGACATCTGGTTTTTTCCCCTGCAGGGAACTACCTCATCATGCCGTCAGGGAACCTGCAGATAGCCAATGCCACGCAGGATGATGAGGGGCCGTATAAGTGTGCTGCTTACAATCCCATCACTCAAGAGGTCAAAACATCCATCTCTGCTGACCGCCTGCGCATACGCCGTGAGTCACCTTGATAAGAAATGACATCAGAAAAAAGGCTTTATTAAAGAGCTGGTCCTGCAGGAACATGTGCACACATGTTCAGTTCAGTGTGACTTTATCCAGTCTCACAAGAAGACTTTTAGTTACAGTTGATAACGTGCACAATTCATAGTGCAGGGATGAAAGTGGGTGGGAAAAGATGCACCGAGTTTTTCACTTCAAAACTAAACCATATTCATGTCCTGACAATTTTCCAGGCTCCATGTCTGAAGCAGCTCGTATCATTTATCCACCGGCGCCCCGTTCCATTATGGTGACTAAGGGCCAGCGGTTGGTGTTGGAGTGCGTGGCCAGTGGCATCCCTACTCCGCAAGTCACGTGGGCAAAAGATGGGCAGGACCTGCGTTTCCATAACAACACACGCTTTCTGCTCAGCAACCTGCTGATTGATGCAGTCGGTGAGGGCGACTCAGGAATTTACATTTGCCGGGCGGACAACGGCATCGGCTCAACCAGCTCAGCAACGGTGCGCTATGATGTACAAGTGTTTGGTAAGTGAACTTGAGCTGCACTGCATGTTGTGTGTCTGCTCACGTGTTGGATAACCTTCCATGGCTTATATATTTTTCTTGAATGCTTTGTTACAAATATTACTGTAAAGGCTATTTACAGTGAATGCACTTTGCTCATTAAACTCCTCAAGGATTTTTTTTTTTTTTTTTTTTTTTAATGAGTAAAATTTGACTTTGTCATGGATTTAAAAATTAGACTGGCTCCTGTTTGGTGGCCAGATAAGATGGGGGTCTGTGTGTGCATGCACTTAAGTGTGAGAAGCAAGCCTGTGCAGTTTTGTGTGGGAGAGACTTGGTGAAGACAGAGCTCTTTATTCTGTTGCAGAACTGGATTGAGTATGTCTAGGTTATGGATGACTGTTTTTACAGTGATTTTCTTTACAGTGATTTTCTGTGTGTGTGTTGTGGGCTTGTCTCTGCAGCTGGCTCTAATTAAAGCCAGAGAGCTGCTGTAGCTGTAATGAGCTCTGTCTTTTCCTGATTCACAAGCAGCCAACCATCAACTAGATGGCATACATACCCCTGCCTCATAGCCTCTACACACACGTCCATGATTCTGATTTTACTCATACAGAGATAACAGAAAATGAATTGACAAATATAATGTCAGCTAAGTTATTTAACAAGCAAAACCATAACACTTATTTCAGTTTATTTGATGTGAGCATTTCAGCTTTTTTATTTTTGTATTATGTTTTTTATATCATTGTGAATCATTGTAACATTTATTCAGACAGCAGATCAATTTATGTTGAAAACAATGATCAGTTTAGCCCTGTACTCTATTCACAAATACACCCACACATAAACGTTCAGACTGCTAATAGGCTGTTCCTTACTCGGGTAGAGCCTCCTCTGGTGACGGTGGAGCTGCAGCAGAAGGAGATTGTGTACGGAGAGACAGTGCGCTCCACCTGCCAGGCCCGTGGTAAACCCCCTCCCTCAGTGTTGTGGCTACACAATGCCCGGCCCCTCGTAGCATCTAATCGCCACCGTGTGACTTCCCGGCTGCTGCGTGTCTCCAACGTGGGCCCTCAAGATGAGGGACTCTACCAGTGCATGGCTGAGAATGGGGTGGGCAGCTCACAGGCTTCTGCTCGCCTCATCACAGTATCATCTGGTAAGCTCTATAGTTTTGGTATTTGTCACAGATTTAATGGTTTTATTCTACAGCCTTTAGATTTAATTAATTCTGTCTGTCCAGGATTGTCGTCCAGGGCGAAGCTGCCTCCCATCTTCCGGCCGCTCAGCCCAGACAAGGTGCTAAGAGAGCAGCCACCCGTGAAGCCTGGAGCTACAGGTGCCATGTTGCCTCTTGACTGCTCTGAGCTGCCAGGACAGATCTTGCCTGCAGAAGCCCCCATCATCCTCAGCCAACCACGCACTGGCAAGGCTGACTATTATGAACTCACCTGGAGGCCACGACATGAAAGAGGACCCCGTGTGCTGGAGTACATGGTCAAATACAGAAAGGTACTGCAGGGAACCTGTACTCACACTAGATGAAATGAACATTTAGCTTCTTCATCTCAGAATTGTCCAATTCCTGTAACTAAGCCCTCTGTCTCTGTCAGTTGGGAGACCCTCTAGCAGAGTGGACCTCCAGCAGTATCTTAGGCTCCCTCCAAAAACTGACCCTGACCAAGCTGCAGCCAGATAGCCTGTACGAGGTGGAGATGGCTGCCAAGAACTGTGCAGGTCTGGGACAACCTGCCATGATGACCTTCAGGACTGGCAAAGGTACAATACTGTCTAAACAGCATTTAGCAATATCAGTAGAGTCTCTACTGTTTGATATATATTTTGTTATTTTCCACCTTGCCCGGGTGTTTAATGAAAGGAATGGGTATTGGTTGTGTATTATGGTGTACATGGAGTTGTTTGTATTTTTAGTTTACACATGCCATCCTATAGCTGTAAAAACTTATTAGGGCACCAAGTGTGTATTAATTCACAGCTGAAAATAGTCCCCAAAATGTGGCATTATTTACTCCTGTTTTAAGTAGTGTGTGATTAAAAACTACAGTGCTCAGCAATTAAAAATTTTTTTAATGTAAGGATAAATATGTATGATTTATTTTTAAAGATTTACATTGTAGGAACAATTGGGCTTCATACTGAATAGCACAGACAAGACAAGTTATTCTGGTTTTCTCTTGGCAGTTGTCGACAGTAACAGTAATATAGCGCAGCACCAGTGTAATCCTTTTAGCCTGGCTACAAGTGCATTTTGATATAACTTTGTGATTTTTCTATTGCAGGTCGCAAAGGTCTTGGAGGGCAAAATGATCCCCCGAAAACTCCTGCTGTTCCTTCGCCAAGCCTTTCTCGTAAGCGCTCACCAATCCCATATATCACTGTGCTCCTCTAATTAATTATACTAATCATAACTATCACCTCAGCTGCTAACCATCCTCCTTGTGACAAACCTTTCTCCATCTCTTTCCTTTCTGTCACTGAAGGATGAGCTCTCAGTAAGTGCTGAGTGTGATGAGTTTTTGTCTTCTCGGTTACAGTCAGCATAGTTAGATTATTGTCTCTGAGTTTGTCGGTTGTTGTTGTTCATCTGACACCAATCCTCTTACTCTGCAGCTCCCGAGGCCCCTGACAAGCCCACGGTCTCCACGGCAACAGAAACATCAGCATACGTGACCTGGATTCCTCGCGGTAACCGTGGTTTCCCCATCCAATCATTTCGGGTGGAGTACAAGAAGGTGAAGAAGGCAGGAGAAGACTGGGTGACAGCGGTGGAAAACATCCCCCCATCACGGCTCTCTGTGGAGATCACAGGGCTAGAAAAAGGTCGGCCATCAGCACACACTTTATTAACAGTGTCGTTATTCACAGCACTTTATTCTGATTGGGGGAGTGGGGGGCAGTAGTAGGACGTCATATAATATAATTACTTTGATGATTCCTGCATAATTACATTCCCACTGCCCAGAAATTCATCAGTATAATGAATGTTGTTACAGTCATTTCAGTAATTGCTGCCATCAATCAGAACCATAACTGAACCAGAACATCACATTTTCTCTGAAAAGGAAAGCAAAGTAATGCGAAGACAAACATACAATACAGAGCTTCATTCTCTGCAGCTTCTGGCCCAGAGACAGATCAGTAATGGTTATCCAACTCCCTGTAGGTACGTCTTATAAGTTTCGTGTGGTGGCGGTAAATGTAATTGGCTCCAGTCCTCCCAGTGCCCCTTCGAAGGCGTACACAGTGGTAGGTGGAAGAACCCATGAGCGTCCTGTTGATGGCCCTTACATCACCTACAATGAAGCCATCAATGAGACTACCATCATTCTCAAATGGACAGTAAGTGTCCATTTTTATAATTAATCAGGATACATTTTTAGTGAAACTTACTTTGAGCTCATTGTGATTGTAACATGTTTCCCTCTTGACAGTACACTCCTGTAAACAACACACCCATCTACGGCTTCTACATCTACTACCGCCCAACAGACAGCGATAATGACAGTGACTATAAGAAGGATGTTGTGGAGGGAGACCGATACTGGCACTCAATCACTGACCTGCAGCCTGAAACCGCCTATGACATCAAGATGCAAAGCTTCAATGAGAAGGGAGAGAGTGAATTTGGCAATGTAGTGATCCTTGAAACAAAAGGTGAGGTCATTTTGAAATGTGGCTGATTTAAATCTGTCTAGTCAGTGTGTCTACTCTTGTGCAAGTCTGAGCTGTTTTGTTAACAGGCTTTTTTTCCACTGTTTTTCTTCTCAGCTCGTCCTAATCACCAGCGGCCTGCTCCGTCACAGGCCCCAGACCCAGGGCAGGAACTCTCCAGTGGAATGGTGCCTCGGCCCAGCGACCTCCCCTACCTCATAGTCGGTATTGTCCTGGGAGCCTTTGTCTTCATCATTGTCGCCTTCATTCCCTTCTGCCTCTGGAGGGCTTGGGCCAAACAGAGTGAGTGCTACTTAACAGTACCTCAGGCATTTGCAGGAACTGAACTATTTGCCTAGTGAGTATTTTCATAACAGTCTTTTTGTGCTTGTTTTAGAGCAAACATCCGACTTGTGCTTTCCTTCTGTGGCTGCCCCCATGTCATCATGCCAGTACACCATGGTGCCTCTTCAGGGACTCGCCCTGGTTGGACACTGCCCGCTGGATAGCCACATGACCACTCCACATGGCGTCTACGCCACTAATGGAGAATATACACCGAACAGCAAACCTCACCATGCCTCACAGCGCCTGCCAGGACTGCAGCGGGTAAAAAAAAAAAAAAAAAAAACTTCTAGGAAGCTGAGAAATATCTTAACCCCAGGTTCATTTTAAACATCACTTGGTATAGGTAATGTCTGTCAC